CATTACATTGATGAGAGTGCTGGCTTGTGTCAACTGGTAAAGTCCTTTTGTTTACTTAGTTCTTTATTCCTTCTTCCTTGTGGTTACTTTAACAATTGATAGAGGAGAATTTCTCTTTGACTCCATTCTTATGTTGAAACATATGCCTCTCCACCAAATGATTTTGTACTACCTACATCTCCTTTCCAGGCTCCTGATCAACCAACCAATCCATTTACCACTACCCATGAGTTTGTGTATATGTGTGAATATGTGTACATAAAATATGTACATATGTGTATACATATTATCTTATACCACTTTTGTTCCCAAACAAAATAGATGGGCAGGTACACCGTTAGAAGCTCTGCTCATAGGAAGAGTTTCTTCTCACTATGGCTCCACTAACTTCCTCCTTGAATGGGATTATAATGCAGCCACAGTCCATTTTTAACTTGTACTCACATTTTGAGATGATCCATACATGAACCACCATTTATCTCTTCTTCCTCTTTCAGTTTCCCTTATATACCCGTCATTTATTTCAGGGCTCCAGGTCCAAAATCTGTCTCAGGTTTGGAGAGTGTGCAAGGGAGTTAGTTGGCTATGTTCAGCCTCCTGATTGGCTATTCTTAATTTTTTTGACTGTGTAGATTGAACAATATTCTTGTTGGCCCTCCATCTATTTTGCCCCTAGGGCCACTGTATTCTATTAACCATCTCCATAACTTCTCCACCAAGCTGACATTCTAATCTTGCCATTCATTCTAGAAAATTGCTTGTTCAAGTGTCACCACCTGGCCTCTATTACTTGGAATTTTACAATCCTCATTATTATCAGTAAATCCATCTTTCTAAGAGTATCCCCTACAATCTGCCACCACTGAGTTTCTCATTGATGCCAGAGCCTGTTTCACCAGCATATTCCTGATCACTTATATAAATAGGGTATCCACCAGGCCCCATGTACATATTCAGCTAGCTTGTTGCCCAGTTGGGTATACCCACCCCTTTGAGCTTTTGATCCCTTTTTATATAATTTACCAGCAAACACCAGCTTTGAGATTGTGGTAAGCAAGAATAGACAGAGGGAGAAGTTGAACTGTGGTACCGTTTCAGCAGAAACTTCAGAAGGTTTTACTGGGAGCTCTTGAAATGGGCTGGATATTCAGAACTGTCTACCTGGAAGTAAAGGAAACTGGCCTTTATACCTCTGTGTCCTGGATGCATATTATCCCATGGAAAAAGGCATGAAAGGACAAGGTGGCTCCTTTAGGTTGAGGACAATTCCCAAAAGGGGTTTGGCTGAGATCTTATAGCCATCTACACTCCCAGCAGCTGGGATAATGTGTTCTTTTCAATCCTAAAGGGGGCTCTGGAATGTACCGCATAGCACCCACCATAACAATATTCACTACACTGTGGTCATGCTGGTCTCTAACACCATGCCCAAACCATTCTCTCCTGACTGCTCATGTTGCTTTCCCATCTTGGGTTTTCTCCTTGTAGTTAATTTAACCTTCAAAGTAGCTCAAGCAGTTCTCTTTTGTCTTCCCTGACCTCCCTTAGTATATTCTGTTTTACTGCCTCTCCCTTTTTTGCTCCCATCCTATAATGTTTATTATCATTTTGTCATATTATATAGGAATGATTTAAACCCACATTATATAGGAACTACCTCCAGGGCAGGGATTATGTCTTATTCTCCTAATGCTGACATGTTGCCTGACATATAAAAGGCACTCATCCAGTGCGATTTATTAAAAGTGTGAGTAAATGAATGAGTTAATAACTTAATGAATGTTCATATACACTCTCATTTTTTTCCAGAGAAAATTTGAGGCAGCCAAGTTCCCCAAATCTAACATACTGTAGCTTATGGAGTAGTAGCTCAAAATATGCAAAACCTGGCAGAAATGCATGTCTCACTCTCTGGAATGGCACACTATTGGGGTATAAATATGAGTCTTGGAAAAACCCTCATTTCAATGTTACAGATACCCAGATTGGTGACAGCAGGGTATCTTCTCACAAGGACAAGAGATCCCAGCCAATAGCACTTTCAAGAATGTGCAAGCAAAGAGTTAACAGTCTCACAGCTGCCTCTCATTGGAGGTGTTAATGAGGTGACAGGGGGAAAGATTTTAAAATAAAATTGCCTTCACTCATTCCAGTTAAATTCCAGTACAATGGAAAGACGTGAACCTCTCTCCACTAAACTTCTCTCCCTACCCCCATTCTAATGAGGTCTGACCTTAGCTCTGGGGTTGCACGCCTTAAAACGGTCTGCTAAGAATTTGGAACTGCCCACTTAGTTTCCAAACCTCAGGTTGCCTTGGGGAGGTTTCTAAAATTTGGTTACCAGAGATACTTTGGTTAGAGAAAACGATTCAAAAAAGAACGTGCGGTAAGGCACAGCTGGGATGTCATCTGTGCGAGCAATCAGAAACCTGGGCATGAAGTCATTCCAAGGTACTTTCTGCTTGTTTATTTAGAAATTCTCTGTTTCTGTGGCATGAATCAGAAGTAAAGGACAACATGTTAGAAGGAAAGGTAAGATATGGTCCTGAGTCTTTCAAAAATATCTCCAACATGGCTGAAAGACAAGAGTGTCATCCCAACAGCGAGTTTTCAACATCCACCAGTACCCCCACCTTGGAAAGATCAGAGGTAAAAGGATGCTGCGCGGTAGCTCCATATTGCTTGAGGCACCAACGATTTACATTCCTGAAGAGACTACTCCTTCAAGGATAAGACTATAAACTATATCATAGTTTAACCTCACTATGATATAGAGAAAAGGCCACAGTCTAGGTAGAGTCACAGAGACATTTATTTGAATCGGGGAAGCAATTCACCTCACTGAGTCTCAGAATTCTCACCTGTAAAGTGGGGCTAATGTTCCTAATTCAGTTAATTATTACAAGGCTTAAAAGTGATAAGATGTAGGAAGTATTTAGCACAGGCATAAGAACATTATTACTATAATTATTGATGAGGGGGAATATTTGCCTAGGAATTCTCTATTTGTGATAGAATGCATGACATTCATGTATATAATACTAAAATATCTCATTGTACTATGAGTAGAAAAGATTGTGTACTTGATTTTGTCAGGACTAGTTAACAAATATGAAAAGAATACTAGTTGTTCAAACCAGAAAGCTTCACTCTGTTGAGAAATGGCTTAACCTCTCTGCCTTTGTTTCCTGGTCAATAAAGCGGGACTCAGAAGATCTACCTCATAGTGTTTCTAAGAAATTTAAATGTGTTAGCAACAGTAAAGCAACAATACAGTTCCTGACTCACAATAAAGAGTTCTACTGTGCCTATTGTTGGCTTTTTAAGGCACTCTCTAATTATTTCAATGGTTTTTATATCAGGATGCTACTGAAGAAGCCCCGTTTAAGAGGACGGAGGAGAAAGAAAAGAATACTCCAGTCACTTAGTGATTATTCGCTCCAATGACAAATAGCCTTCACTATGACCCTACTCTCATGTGAACAGATTCACATTTCTTGAACAACGTCTATACCAGCTCTTTACTACATATGATAAATAATATTCCGTCATGGTCATCAAAAATGTTGTAGAGGTTGAAAACAGGCCAGGGCAGCAGCCTTGAAAATAACACTTAAGCACCCTTTAATAGAGGACCTGGATTGCTGAGGCTGCTAGGCCAGGTTTTTACTTTTACACTTACACAAAGCAAATAGACCAAAATAAACAAACAAACAATAAAAATCTAGGCTAGCAAAGTAAACACATTCTTTTTTTAAGGACTGATACATGAGAAAACTTTCATCATATCATGTTTTACTTTAATATTAAAAATAAAGATGAGGCTCTGAACCTCTGTTAATTTTTTTCTGTGAATTAAAGCTGTTCTAAAAACACAGTCATTTCAAAACTTAAAAGAAGAAAAACTGGGTCAGTTTGAGCATATTTCACAAGGAAATATAATTTCAAATTTGCCTTAAATTTATTTAATTTTTGCAACAAGATGAAATATTATATAAATACATTTAATGAGAAACAGTATCCCCAAAAATAGTAAGAGCATCTGAAAAGCATTTGTACACCTAATATTTTATTTTTGACCTCATAACAATCTTGTGAAACAAGTAAGGTAAGCTTCTTTCTACAGCGACCAAGATAACAGCAAATCAAGGGAACTCAAGATTTTTGTACAAATTTCCTTACCTCTTACTCTGGCATATCACTTGTTGCATTTCAAAGAGAAGAAACGTAATATAAGGAATTGGCTACAAACAAGCTGGAAGGGCTGGAGAAGCAAAATAGAGGAGCAACAGAAGTAGAAAGTGATGAGTATTATTGTGGTTTCAGTTATTGGACGGAGAAGAGAAGACTGAGATGGAAAGGGAGGACGAGATGTTCTTAGCGTCTGGGGAGATGTCTCGGTGCCAAATCGCCATCCAAATATATGGTTTCTTAAAGAAACTTAATACCCACATCTTGTGACATTTAACCCAGCCTCTTTACTGATTTTTGTGTTAGAATAAAAATACAAAAAATTCAAAAACAAAATAACATAGCAACAGAGCATATACAAGATTTCAAGGCATTCCTGAGAAATATAATCACCTTTGGCCTCTTGCCCCCGCCTGGTGCTGCAATTCCATCTGCGCCCCTGAGCAAGCTGTGGCAGGCCTGAGTTGGAAAGGCGAACTGGGGGTCACCGAAGCACTTTGGGAAAGTGGGGCTGTCTAGATATACCTCGTCTCAGGAGCTCCCTTGCCCAGGAGCAGTGCAGTGTTGGAGGCCTGCATGTTCTTAGTGAACCATGAAACTGAAATGCAAACATTCATGGTTGTTAACTCAAGCACAATACTCAATACTCAAGCACAACCTGAAATAGGCATAGTAGCCGTAATGTCAAATAAATGGTATTGAACAATTAAAATTAATATTTATTGAGCTTACTATTTGTCAAATACTTTAGTGTTTTTATGCTTATACATGCATTTTCATTTAATACTTCTACTATTCCTGTTTTACAGATGGGAAAACTGAAGCTAAGAGGGTGAATACCTTACCCAAGGCCGTACAACTAAGGGATGAAGCTGTGATATGAACACAGGCTGTTTTATTCTGGAAACACAGTCATAACCAGAGCTGTCCTTGTCCATGTCATTGGAAGGGAGACTTTGTTTTACCCAAATCCTGTACTAAACCCCTCAGTCCTTCTGGATGTGTGAAAGACCTGCTATTGCTTGGCCAAGGAGAGTCATAACGAGTACAAGACACAATTTGCTTCCTGGTTATGTTATACTCACGTGTATCTATAGTTCTTTACACTAAGCAGTGAGTTACTTTTTTTTTACATGCAGTACATTTTACCACATGTGCATGGCATATAGATGGTATAATTGACTGGTCTGGTAATTCATTTCATGTGCTTTATTTTGTTTTGTTGTTGATTTTTATATCTCTGGGAGGAACCCAGTCCTAAAGCATTACTATACTGCTGACCTAGAAATCTGAATTAGGGAATTAAGAATATCATTTACAAATGTTACCTGGTGTTAACCCAGAACTTCATTTAAAAAAAGACACTGATACAAAACCAGTAAAAGAATAAGAAAATACAATGCTGAAATTTCAGGATTTGATTGATTTCCACCAGTTTCATGGAGTTTTTTTAGTCTGGTTTTGTTAGGGTTTTCTGTTTGCTTTACTCTCTCCATGTATATGTGTTTGTGTGGTATATTTAAGTGATGATCCATTTTCTAATCTTTTGTTATACAAAAGGACCCCTAATTTTGACCTAAAGTCATTTCAGTGGAAATTAATATTCATAATTACAAGTTATTATATTTTCCAGTCATAGTTAATGGATATAAATTTGGAGAAATTCCATCAGGAAAGAAAGGAGAAATTTAGTAATGGGAACGTGCCATCTTCCATTTGATACAGGACATTTGCCGAAATAAGATAAGCAAGCTAACCAGAATTTCAACACCTTCTAGGTGTTAGGGATTTTCACCTTTATTACTAATGTGCAAGTCCTCCCCTTTCACCTCTTAAACTCTTGCCAGCACTGGGACCTAGCTGCAGCAATTGGGAAGCTACTCTCCTGTCTCAAAAGATAATCACCATTTGCACAGTTAAGTATTTGGCACAGCCGTGGATTCAGAAGCACTGAAGGACTCTGAAAACGTAATATTTTAATCATTGCTGCTTTAAACATATGCTTCAGTTGCATTTTCCAGCTAAGGAGTGGTCTCAGCTATCATTCATATCTCACTCACAAAGACAAGTTCTCAGGCCAACTTGGCAGCTTTGAGCGATTCCATCTATCTGGAAATCTTTCAGCTCCCTGGTTAGCATTCTTCATGTCCAAATCCAGGTGCCAAAACTTTTACTGAGCGATAGAACTACTGTTTAACTGCCTCTTTCACCTGCTACTGTCACTGAGATAGAACTACTACTATGTTTAGAGCTACTTGAGGAAAAAGATTGTCAAGCCATATGCCACAAAGTGACTGCTACATGTCCCTTAGCTGTTTCAGTTACTGTGAATGTTCAATTTCTCACCCAGAAGCAGCTTTGAGCCCTTTAGACGGATCAGTTAAACCAGGAACTTAGCTCAGGACAAATAGTATATTAGGATAATCCATATACCTGGGGACCACACACTCGATTTGCCTGAGACAGTCATCATCTGTCCTGATGATCGAAGTATAATTACCAACAGTGTCCACTTCTACTCACAAAGTTGTACCAGTTTGGATAACTAACTATATGGTCACCTTGATTATACTTATAAAACAACAAGGGACCAAGATGAGCATATCTTAAGCCAAAACATCTACACTGGTAATCTTCATAGCACACCTCAGCTCCTTCCTGGCACTTGACAGGAACTGCACTGTTAAAGCTTCAAACCATAATATATTGTATCTCTAGCATCTATCACAGAGTCTGGCACAAAGGGTAGTAATCTCCTATTTTGTGAGATGGATAATGTCAAATCAGAAGCTGCCTTATCATTCACATGATTTGAACATATTTATTGTATCCCTCGTTTGCAGGCACTATGGTAGGAACTGGGGTGTCTACTGCAAAGCAGGTAAATCACTGCCTTCAAGAAGATTGCAGTTTCATGGGAAAGACTGATTTAAGCTATAATTGTAGTAATATAAGTGGTATAACATCATGTACTATAGGAGTGAACAGAAGGCAAACTAGTCGAGCCTTAAGAAATGTAGAGAAACTTCTTGGAAAATGTGACATGTAACTAAAGGAGAGGAAATGAGAAGAAGGTTCTCTTTGAGGTTTTATGTATAGGGTACATTAAGAGAACTGAAAATCTCTGGTGTGACTATAATGAAGATGGAAGGATGAAGGACAAGGCTGGAAGTGGGGATGCAGAAGATCACAGAGAAGACCACATGTGTCATGAAGGACATGGACTTTATCCTGGAGCAATAGAGAATAGGAACCTGGCCTTACATAGACAGGGGACTTGATCAGACTTGACTTTAGAATGATTACTCTGGCTATAATATGATGACTGTATGAAATCCTGAAGTATTTTTTGTTAATAGGGAGAAATGAGGGCATCATTTTATGTTTTATTTGAATGCGTTGAGTCATCTATGGAGAACAGTCTCCATTTCTTGAAAAAGAAAACCATGACTCAACAGTGAGGCACTCTCGGTTCAGTTACTACTGGGTCTGATTTGCTGGTGTCCTTGACCCAGCCACACTAGGCTTCCTTGGACCTCGATTTCCTTGCCTATAAAATATGGATTGTTGTGTTCACCTTTCACATAGGGTGATGTGAGGAAGCACTATTAAAAAGCAGCCAAGTTAGGAGGGGAAAGTGTTAGAGAAATGCTTAATAAGTCCAAATAACAACCAAGAAATGTGAAATGTGTGTGTCAAAGGTTTAAGTGCTCCAGTGTGTACTGCAAGGGTTTCAACCACAAGATTTGGTGATCTGGGGGCTCACTTTACTAGGGCTGTTTGTCCCAGCTAAATCTGAGGCTGGGGTGGGGGTCCTACTCACCAATTAAGAGAGAACAATCTAAAGCCATGTATGTTCAAAAGCATGTCCCTGCGCCTAAACTTGGGCTCAGTTTCATAGGGACTCTTCCTTGGATCTGCTGAGTCTAGCCCACATCTTATAAAACCACACTCTGAAACTAGTCTCTGGAGGAAAATAGCATGCTATTTAAATGATTTTAAAAAATAAAAGAATTGGATACAAAAGATGAGCGATCACCAAGTCTCCCCATTACCCTCTTCAGAAATTGCAAAAGACCAAACTCCTGAGGTTTAAATGAAAGAGTCATTGATAATAATAACCATTATGCAAAAGGGCTATTCTAAGTAAACATTAGCTCATTTGTTCCAGGGAGTTATATTATTTTCTCTTGTATCTTATTTCTTAATACTTGAGTTTGAAGAAGTTGAATCCTGCCCACTTACAAAGCAATGAAGTTTGGATTACAACCCAGGCTGGTATAAATTTAAGTTTATGCTCATTGCCTCTGCACTGCTCTGCTTAACCCAGTAAAGTCCTATCATACTGCCATCATCTTACTGGGGTCCTGCTTTCTCACCCCTACCCACCCCGCTGCTCATATCACCACGGGCGTGTGAAGCTGCTGTTTCTACAATGAGAGTCAGTCAAGATAGGAAGGTTAATTTATTTTAGTAGATATGTGTCAGTGACACTATTTTTAAACAGCACATCATGACAACTTGCACATCACACAAAATCCCTTTAGGGCCAATATGACCCTAAAAAAGGAGTGTATCAAGAGCACCTGTCAGCAGTTGATGGTTCATATCAGCATATATTCAACAATATAAGAAAAATACAGGTAATTCTATGAGAAACAGATCCAACATCAAACAACAGAAATATCATTTAGATAAGCCCCATAAAGGTATAGATGGTAAATTCTATAGTTTCTTCTTAACACACCAGACACCAAAAAACAGGTTGTGATGGTTGTATCAAGTTGTACTTTTTACATCCACAGTATACTGACTTGTAAACCTGAGCTCCACACAAGTTCTACAATTATACTTCAGGGATTCTGCAAAAATAAGATTCAAATTTATTTTTAAATATATTTCCTAAATTATTCCAAGGCAATTTAAAACCATATGCATATTCAAATTCATGCTTTCACACATAAACACGCACATCCATGCTGAACTCATTTATATAACCAGCTGCCTACCTAACATCAGTTTTAACCATAATGTATGCAAAATCAAAATCCTGATCCTTCCCATCATGCTCCCCAAATTGACCCACCTACTGTCCTCCATGACTCAATAGGGACATTTCATCATCCAGTAGCATCATTCTTGACGCATCTCTTCACTCACACTTCACATCCAAATCCCCCATGAAATGACCACATTGCCCCCACTGCCTCATCCTGCATCTCTAACTTACAGTATTGTAAGTATTGTAATAACTTCCTGATTGGTCTCCTTTCATCTGACCTTTCTCTGTTACAGTCTATTGTCATACCAGCAGGAGATAACAATAAGATCATGTCTCTTTTCCCATCCAAATACTAACCAGGCTTGACCTGCTTAGACTCCAAGACCAGATGATACTGGGCACGTTCAGGGTAATATGGCCATAGACCCGTGAACATGGACAACAGTGAGGTGATTGCTGGGGGAGGGAGGTATAAGGGGACAAGATAGTAATGGGGGAAAAGTATAATAAATATTAAATTTAAAAATTTATTTAAAAAAATTGTGTCTCTAAGATCATTTCTCTCAAAATCTTCTAAAGTTTTCTCAATTTGTTTTGAGAAAAGCTAAAGGTCCTTGGATAACCTGCGGGGGCTCACCCACTGCCATCCCCTTTGCCTGGCTGAAGTCGTCTTCTATGACCCTTGCCTTTTGTCACTCCACTACAAGCACACAAGGTTCCTGTCTTTTGTTCAAACACACAAGGTAGGCTGCGGCTCATCTCCAGAGAGCAGCCTCTCTCTCACCTGCTTTAGGTCTTTGCTCAGTAAAGCCTTCCTATCCACACAATTTTAAATTATACTCTCTCACCACAATCCCAGCACTTTCTGTTCTCTGCATTGTTTTTCTCCACCATACTTAGCACTACCTAATAGACTAGGTA